TATAATTATAATATAATATAATTCAATACAATTAAAATTATAACACTTTATAGTAATTCTACACGTAATTTAATTGAACATGATGGTTGCTTCTCCATTGGAATCAACCCTGGCTTACGAAAGAAATTGATCTTCCCTTCCAAGTAAGAAGGACCATGATATATTATTTTATATAAAATAAAATTACTTAATATAAATATATTAGTATTTAGTAATTAAATTTGTAAAAAAAGAAAGTAAAAGTACTTAAAATTACATATTTAATAAAATATTAAAAAATTAAAATAATTTCATTTTTCAAAAATTAAAATTTTTTAATAAAATTTTATTACAACAATATAACTTTTACATATTTTTTACTTAATTTTTTACATACAAGTTACTACTCACTTTTTCATAAAAATTATATATTGCAAAAGATTTTAGACACGTTCATGAAACAAAATATATATGCTTTGAAATACAAGATACATGTAGATTTCGTAGAAAATGACCCATTGGGAGAGCCATTCCAAGCAAAACTATCCTGGCTAGCCATGGTCTTAGAGATAGGGGTGGCCTTGATTGTATCTAGCAGGCAATCTGAGAAAGGATATGAGATAAGAGAAGGATCAAAGAGTCCATTAGGAAAGATATCCGCAACAAGCAAGTTGTTATCTGCTTCAGAAAGAGGACCCTGTAACATAGAACTAAGAGGCAGATTCAGGACCCAAGGGTCATTCCAGAAAGAGATATCATTACCATCCAAAGGGGTCCATTTAATCCCCTTTAAAAAGAGATTGTTCCCTTTTCGAATGCTGTTGATGACAGGGGAGCCATTCGAGGGGAGAGTGGAAGGACGAGAGCTAATATTATACTTCCTCTTCAATACCATATTCCATAACTTATCTTCTTCAGTGAACAATCTCCAATTAAGCTTAGCCATGGCAGTGGTATTAGCTTCCTTGGCGCTCCTGATGCCGAGCCCACCTAAACACTTGGGAAGAGAAACTTGTTCCCACTTCACCAAATGAAGCTTGCGATGGTCTAAATCGGAGCCCCAAAGAAAATCTCTTGCAATTCTATCAATACTGGATAAGATAGATGAGGGCAGCATAATGGATTGCATATAAAAGTTTGGAATAGAAGCCAGAACAGAATTAATAAGAGTAGTTCTGCCAGCTATGGAAAAGAATTTAGTTTTCCAACCTTCCAACTTGGCACGAACTTTGTCCAAAATAAAGGTGTAATCCTGTTTACAAGGCCTCTTAGCAGAGATAGGAATTCCAAGATATTTACCAAGATAGTTAGTATGTGAAAATCCCATAATATTGCAAAGCTCCTCTCTCAATGGCTCAGTCACGTTATTGGAGAAAAAGATATTAGATTTAGAGGGATTGATCCTTTGACCTGACCTGTCACAAAAGAAATCAAGCACAGATTTCAGAAATATACAATTGTCTTTGGTAGCCTTACCAATAAACAGAAGATCATCAGCAAAGAAAAGGTGAGAAAGGGAAGGTCCACGCCTTCCAGCTTTACTCCCCTTCCAATATCCTAAAGACGATGCTTTTGTTATGGTAAGAGCAAGAAATTCCATGCAAA